CGTCGCGCTAGCGGCCTTTCTGTTCCTGGCCTCTGCCTTGGCAGATGTAGGACCCTATTTCGATTCTGAATTGTACGAACAGGGTAGACTGGGATCATGGCCCATTGAGACATACCGTTCGACTTCCACCGTAGGTGCAGCCGTCAACTTTCTGCAGTATGGGCCACAATGCAGAGATGACAAGTATTACTTCATCTCTCCGCGCGGGTATAGCGTGCATAAACCCGGGCCGATGATCCTAGACCACAAGGGTCGCTTGATCTGGACGAAGCCCTACGGCCACACCTACAACTTCAATGTCTACAACTATAAGGGCCAGGACTATTTGACGTTCTGGGTGGGCAACGACAGTAAGGTGGGACACGGCGAGGGCACATACTACATGGTACGGGCACCTTCTTCTACTCCGCATAGTAATGGGGCAAAACAATACTAAAGTCTCCAATAAAGCTAGACTCGTCGTACCAGGAAGCTTTCACCCTCAGTGGTGCGAATGGACTTGCAGCGGATCTTCACGAGTTCCACATCACCCTCGACGAGACTGCAGTTTACACCATCTATGACATCCGCCCGGCAGATATCCGGGTCGCTGGCGGTCCTGAGAATGGCTGGATCTGGGATGGAACGTTCCAGGAAGTCAACATTGAGACGAACGAGCTCCTCTTCGAATGGCGAGCCTCCGAACACTTCGACATCGCCGACGTCCCTCGAGGTCGCGAAGGCTCAGGGGAGGACAAGGAACGCCCGTGGGACTATTTTCACATCAACAGCATCGACAAAGACGCAAAAGGCAATTTTCTTGTCTCAGGCCGCTACTGCAACTGCCTGATCTATATCGACGGTCGCACAAGCGAAACTATCTGGACTCTAGGCGGCAAGCGAAGCAACTTCACCGATCTCTCAGGCGGCGCAGCTACTAATTTCACCTGGCAACACCACGCCCGCTTCCGCGACAACGGCACTGCAATCACCCTTCTTGACAATTCGTCTCGCGGCAGAGGCGCACCCCAGCACCCAAGTAGAGGCCTCTACCTCGACATCGACGAAGCCAACATGACCGTGCAAGTCCGACACGAGTACTGGAACGAATACCCGATCAAAAGCCAATCCCAAGGCTCCATCCAAATCCTCGACAATGGCAACGTCCTAGTCGGATACGGCTTCAGCGCCGCATGGACGGAATTCAGCATGGACGGCGAAGTCCTCTGCCATGCCCACTTCGCACCCGCACGAGACTTTTCCACAGGCAAAGTCGTCTCCTACCGCACCTTCAAACACCCCTGGATCGGCAAGCCCAACACCCTCCCGGACTTCGAAGTATACGCCTATCGCGCCGCAGCCAGCTGGAACGGCGCCACCGAAGTCTCACACTGGGTCCTAGAAGGCACCAACAAAAAGATCTCAAAAACAGCACAACCAACCTTCCTATCCGCCGTACCGAAAGACGGCTTCGAAACAGTAATCCGCATCCCGAACGACGCAAAATTCAAATACCTACGCGTCCGCGCCATTAGCGCAAGAGGCGAGACCCTTGCCGCTAGCAAGTTGGCAAGATGGGACCCTACTTCCAACGAAGCAGTCGTCGTGAGTGGCGATAGCGACGACCCTTTCTTTGTGGACAGTGACAAAATCTATGCCATTTTTATATTCCTCACGATTGCGCTGTTCTCCACGGCAGCGATCGGCGCGTTTCTATGGTTCGGCGTCAAGAAGGGCTATCTTGTGTCGTGGTTACGGAGCCGTCGGCGGGATGATAAAGATAAGGAACGTGGGAACTTCCAGCCTTTGAAGCGCTTTGGTGGAGGTGAGGATCTGAGTGATGTAGAGGTGGAGGATAGTGTTGAGTTTTCGGCGTTGTTGGGGGTTCAGTCACTGGGTTCGGGGCCAGATGTGGAGAGGGCGGGGAGTATGGATGTTGTTAGGAGGTGATGATATCTTTCTTATTTAATTCTGGTTTTTTTTGTACTGTATCATGATGTTAGCGAGTAGATCATGTGTACAGCATTATATCTCATCTGGATTGGGTATATAGGATCTAGCTTGACTCGGTTTACTTCCACTGAAAGTGGACTTCTACGAAAAAGTTTGATTTTGTGTTTCAAAGATCGTATGATAGATTGCAGTCGTACTAAAAGAGTGCGTAGGCTAGCACATCCAGCTAGACTCGTAAAGACCGTTACATAAATGTCATATCTGCCTCAAGGGTGCCAAGCGAGCAAAGTTCCTTCGAGCTGACATTCAATCAAGCCTCAGAAGCAACCTCCAACCGCTTATAACCACCCTCAGCGGCGACCTTCTTCTGCAACTCGGCCATACGCTTCTGATCACCAAGGGGATCAGTGGAATCAGCATCCAGTCCCCACGACAAGTAGTCATTGGTGTAGTTAGCCACGAAGTCGGAACTCAAGATGCCCAACCGTTTTCCATAGTTGGTCACCTTAGCCCAGTCACGACTTACATTCTTCAAGTCTCGACTGAAGTACGCGAACGACCGCTCAAAAATCTTCCGGTTGACCGGAGTACCCATGATCGGCTTCATGTCCACGTACTCCTCGAAAGCGCGGGCGGGCTCAGCCAGAACGTAGTCTGTAGCGCGCTTGACGGCCCGCATGAACTTCTGCACTTTCTCTGGGTTGGCGGCCAGGAAGGCGTCGTTGGCAATGTACAGGATCGAGCAGAAGCAGCAGCATCCGAGCTCGGCGAGCTGGTCGATGCGCAGCATTTGCACGTCGTCGCGGGGCCGGCCCTGCTCGGCGAGCCATTCAGCGAGCTCGACCATCTGGACGTTCTCGAGGCCGATGCCCGCGTCGATGTCGCCGCGAATGATGGCTTTGGTGACGTTCATGCCGCACCGGACGGCGGTGTAGTCGTCGGCGGTCATGCCATAGTATTTGGTGAGCTCGTCAATTTGGATCTGTGGGGTGTGTTGGTTAGGATATGGTGGCGGGTTAAGGAAGAGGGTATAGAGGACGAACCTTGCCAAACTCGCCGACGTAGCCGATCTTCTTGCCCTTCAGGGAGCGGAAGTCTTCGGTGATTCCGCTGTCCTTGAGGTAGACAACACCGGTGAAGGGCTCGTCGAGGAGAGAGCCGATCGAGGTGACTGGGAAGTTGCGGGCCTTGGCCTGTTGTTTGGTTAGCTCCTGGTTGTGGAAAAAAAAAAAAAAAAAAAAAGAAGGATAGCTCATACAGCAAGGGTATGAATCATAGCCTTGAAGCCCATGTCAACCTTGCCGCTGCCGATGATCTCGGTGACATCGGAGGGGTCATTGGGCTCGAGGAGAGCAACCTTGAGGCCCTCTTCCTTGAAGTAGCCCTTGCTTTGGGCGAGGTACAGGGGGGCGTGGTACGGGGTCGCGTGCCTTGAAAGAACGCAACATTTAGCATATATTCTGTGACCTGTTTCAAGCAATCATGAAAGAGATCCCAATCCATACCAGTTGGTCAGGAAGGTGATCTTGTCAGTAGACATCTTGGCACAAATACACTCAATTCGAGGGTAATTGCAAAGGTCTGAAAACTGTCAGCAACAGAGAGGGATGCGAGATCCCTCTCGTCTTTCTGTAGGTCCAATAATTAGGGGACAATCAGTGCCACGCATGTCCTTTCGCTAGTATTATCTAGATCAAGTTTTGACAGTATAATCTCAGAACGACCGCACTTCTGCCCCCAAACCGGGAGGAAAGGAGCAGAAGCACGAGTCGAACACCTGTCATGCGCGAGCAGTGACTGTTATACTATTGTACGATACCTTGACCCATCTGAACCCATAGCGAAAAGACCCGGAGTCTGATCCTGTGTGCGCGGCCTCATTGTGAGTCGTACCGGACGGTTGGTGAGGAAGTTGTTGAAGAAGGAGAAGTAGTAGTAATTTGTTCAGGAAGAGTTACAAGTGTAAGTAGATCGTGAGAGGATAGGAAGATGAAGGAAAAAGAAAGCAAGTGAAGGAGGGGAGAAGACGAGGCATAAATGGGAAGCGGCGGGGTCGAGCGAGACCCTGGACTAAACCCCACTACTAACTTAGTTATCCGCGATTCGCGTCGTCGTCCCTCACCGAGAACAACATCCAGGACCCCCACGAAAACGAAATAGATGTCTCATTGGAGTCCCTCTCACCGGAGTGGTGTGCTCCTGACGTTCTTTCCGGTTCTCCAGCAGTAACCACCTCATCATGAACCTTGTCGCATCCTCTCCCCCGCTTCGAGACCCGCTTGGAAGCACAACGGACAAGGTTATTATGACTCAACTCTGTATGGTTGGCTGGACTAGTCTCAACAACCGGATGTCTTCGGTCACGGCTGGCGGGTCCAGACACTCTTGAGGAAGGATCTGCTCGACTCTGCTTCGGATCGGATGATCAGCCTAGCTGCTTGCGCATCCTCGCTCTCAACGGGGCCGATTATCGGTTACTGCGTCGGTGGGCTGCACACAATGGAGGTAGCTCAGAGCTTGTGATAGATTCTGGGACCGTAAGGCTACAACATAATCTTCATCGTGCATTCGACTATCTCAACCTGGACCTACTGCGGTAGATTCCAATCAGAAGATACAAATTCGCTGGCTACAACGTTGATGACATATGCAAATGAGGGATAAAACAATGCAAGAATGGAGAGAATGAGCAATGCGAACGGAAAGGGAAATGGAACAACAACGTGAAATGCCATGCTGACCAGAGCGACGGGCTAATGCAGCTACCATCGCTTCTGAATGAAGTTCGCTTTGGATAAAATAGCAAGGGGGTGACCAAAAGCAGTATTTCACACGCGGGCGATTAGTGAGAGCAAGTAAACTCGAACACGATTATTCCACCAAGAACGGTACCTCGGACATGCAAGTTATTCAGAATTCCAGGCTGTCGCGCTGGGCTATCCTGTCAGTCGATCAACTGTCTCCATTGACTGACAGCTGATCGAGCGGCGACGCCGGACGGTCGGCATTCTTCTTCGTGCGTAGGGTGAGCGGAAAGTAATGGTCATCTGGCTCCTCTTCCTCGCTAGTACTAGATAAAAGTGGTTGTCAGCATCGATGCTCCTTGTGTCATTGCTACACCGGGGAGCTGGGATGGTGGACTTACGGCAGTCGCCATGCGACATAGTCCTCCGTACTCAAGCCTTCTTTCACCTCCTGCAGGGAGGCAAAGTCCCCGGGAGTCATCATACCAGAACGATCTCTCGGGGAGCCAGGTACGGATAAGGGTCGCGATATCTTCTGCTCCGTGCCACCGATTACATCGTAGACATCATCGGGCGTGCCGAATGACGAAGGATAGGCTGCATAACTGTGTGAGCACTCTTACATATAATGGCTTGGAGATCCACATACCTCGACGGAGTGCCAACTGCCGAGCCTTGACATACTCCAGACCCATGCGCTTCCAGTCCAAGAGGTCACTCAGACGCTCTGTCCGGTTCCGCTGGTTGATCCGTTGGCGCCGACTCTTCTGGGTGAAGTTGAACATGAATTCCGTCAACTGATTAACGGAGTCATCAACGCCTTTCATGCGACGGTCCACAATATAGATGCCGTAATCGGACGAGTTCTCGATCAACTCCTCCATGTAGCAACCGAATCCAGACAGGTTTGTGGTAATACTCGGGACACCCATCACGGTACACTCAGCCGGCGTGTATCCCCAAGGCTCGTAGTACGAGGGGAAGACCCCAAGATGGGTACCCCGAACAAAGTCGTCATAGTCCAAGGGTAGCACGGGGTTAGATGAGTTCAGGAACTCCGGGTGGAAGACAACCTTGACCCGGTCAGAGTCATGGTTGAAAAGTTGCACACGTCGGATCTGGTTCAGAATGGGATCTTCGTGATCATTGTACATGTTATGCGTGACAATCGGAGGCAGGGAGTGTCGCTTCATGGCGAAGAGTCTGCGGCGCAGTAGCACACGATCTTGGCTAGCCATCAGGTCTTTCTCGTCCGGCATGTTGTCGCCTTCCTTCCATGCTAGACACCGCTCGTACATTCGTCTCCCAATGCCCTTTTCGATCATCTCGATTGTGTCCTTCAGAGACTTCACAACAGCTTGGCCCTTGAGCGCTTCAACGGTCAGGGATGACGTCTGAGCAGGCATGATAATAAACGCGACGACGGTCATCTTTGAGCCGGCCTCTTTCAGACGGTGATTCAATCGCGCCAAGCCCTCGATGAACATATCCACTCCTTTGTTTCGGAACTCATAGCGTCCGGCAGTAAATACGTAGAGGGTATTGTCCAAGTCAAAGTTGTTGTGGCCATAGAAATGTCCCCGCACGAAATCATTGATCTTCTCCTTGGATTGCGAATGTAGGTTCTGAAATTCATGGACAGCCGAGAACTTCTTCACGTTCAGTCCGTTGGGCAGCACGCCATCAGGCTTCCGTTTAAGAAGATGCTCACTCTCAAAGGCCGTGATATGCGACACAGTCGTGAAGACATCAGCTGTGTGTGCGGCAGCTCGCTCAATGCAGTAGCGGTGGTAGATCCCTCGTTTGCCAGCTTCCGCGTCCACATCGAAGTACTGGAGGTTGTTGTAGAAGTCCACAGACCCGGCGCATAGATACCGACCGAGCAAGGTCGCGTGGGTGGTGAATATTGTTGTCAGGTCCATATGCCGCTTCTTGGTCAGCGGCAAGGCGACACCCGCAAGCCATTCGTGAAAATGAGCAACCACTGCACGGCGACGTTCATGAGCGATAAACTGAGTTGATGATCATTAGCATATGCGCACGTGCAGTCAGCGGTCCATGCGCTTAGGTTACGTACCTCTCCCAAGAACCATGCCACCAGGTAGCCGAAAACAATGGCTTCGTTGGTCTCGGTATCGGCGGAAGGGGACGGAATACCAGCTGCATTCCAAAGATCACCTTTCCACTCGTCCAGATATTTGTACCCAGTGCCTGTATCGATAAGAAGCACGCGCGGAGCACCCTCAATCAGCCAGCGACCGTAGACCATCTCGATCCCCCGCTCCTTCATGGACTGGATGGTCTCGATCATGCGAGGATTCGACGGAGTTAACTCCTCGACCTCCACAGCTGCCGAAGCACGATTGAGAGGACCGATCAGGGTGTAGCGGTCGCCATACTCTGCGGTGGTCACGGGAGCTTTAGACTTGAGCACCGAGTAGATACCTCCCACTCGGTTGGCCACTTCCGTCGCTACCTCGAATAGAATGTGATTGCGAACATCGCGCTTTATGGGCTCTTGGCCATTATCTTCACTGGCCATGCTTGCTTTGAGAGCGCTCAGAGGCACTGTAGCGCTGGGAGGGTTATGAATAGCTTAACGAAAGAAGAGAAAGCAAGGAAGAATAGAGAGAGAAAGACGGGAGCTGTAGGAGAGGTAGGAGAAGGTAGGAGTAATTCTTTAACTGGCGCTGAACACGAGGGACAAGCGCATCCGGGGGGTGGGAGGGTGCAGCAAGCTCAGCAAAGCTCGAGGAAGAGGAGAAAAGTTGAGGTGACGTGCGGGGGAAGAACAGGCAACGGGGTGGCGGGGGGAAGAAACTAAGGGAAAACGAAGGGAATATCAATCAAGCAGGGAGCAAGTGGTTGGACCGCAAGGAGGGGGTTCCGATTCTTTTCATTTCACTCCCTTTCCTCCAACAGGTTCAATTCACGCTACGAGACAGCATCCTTCGCGCAATGGCCCGACCAGGGTGCCGGGAAGAGCTCACCGAAGGGCCCCCGTGCTATAGCCAAGGTTTGGAGTTGCACGGACGCATCCCCGGTTCTGGCTTGATGGAACCACTGAAGGGGGGATCCCCCCGGCAAATGACAACCCCGGTTGGTTCTGTCGATTGCAGAATCATCCGACCAGATGATGATGGGTTGCAACGTTCCAGCTGGGAAGCTCGGACTTGCACGACCCTGCTATCTGCGCCCATCACGCCTACAGCTTGGTGGGAGAGAGGGTGAAGGGAAGGAAGTTTTACATGGTTGGGAGCTAGTCGAGCCGCCTCCCTACAGGGGGTTCAGACACCCGGTCGGCTTGTTGGTGGCACAATGCGAAATTGAAAATTTCCCCTCAGTCAGGAACCCGTGAAGAGATTTTTTTTTTTTTTTCTCCACCTCCCATTTTGAAAGGACATCAATTGCGACCGGAAAAGGAACGAACTCTTCCCTGATAAGAACCATATATTCACCCTCAAGACACGTACCAGATTTCGTCTCCGCTTGGACCAATTCGGGGCAAATCTGGGGAAAGCTGTCGTCCCGTGACGTCACCAGTCTCATGTGACGCCCGGCCTGGCTGCCTGGGGCCGCCGATAAACCCCCGGGCCCTCCTCAACGTATCACTTCGCTTGCCTGCAGCCACCAGCTGCACCGCGATGACAATCATGGGCGGGAAGATCGCAAGATTATCATTGTGATGCTGGTGGCAGGGTTCTCCGCGGGAGACCACTTCATACTAGCTTCGTATTCGCTGCAATGGCTTTCACAAAGATAATATGCCAATGCAACCAACGATACTCTCAACCGCGTGTCTCTGCTTCGTTGAGCAATGTCTAAATATGGTCTGGTCTGCGCTTTGTCCTCGAGAAAGCTTACCGACAACGGTATGTCCCGAAGGGCGATATCGGTGTTCCCCTGGTCCATGAAAAGTATTTGCTGCAATGGATAGGTATTTGTGTGTATCTCAGTTCAATGTGTCAAAGCTCCATTGCTGCGGCGAATAATATTCAGCTCTGCCACATCTGAAGCTACCCCGCGCGGATGCGCCTCTATAGGTTTACGATCGCCGCATCCAGATCTGCATTCTTCGCCAGTGAGCTTCAGAGCAGCCTACATACCATGAACGGCGCACCGACGCCTTTATATAGCTCGGTGGGTGAGTATCCGTGCTTTGCTTGCCTTGTATGCAAGCTAAGGCCATACATCATCATCAAGATGGTGAGACATTGGCACACTGGCGATGTCATAGTTGAGCCAGATATTGATCCGGTGAGTTCAAGTCGTATGTAGCCACTTTGCACGTAGTATGTAGCCAGCCATAGATGGTACCTTGGTACTTCTTCGTAACGGTGAGGCGTAGAACATGGTCCCTGGATTTTTACTCAGTAACCCTCAGACCCGGAATCACGACGGCTGGCTGTTAGCGCAGGGCAGAATGCTATATTCTAGTATCCTTCCACGTGGGAGGCATTGAACAACACGGCCAACCCCTGTCGCTTATTCTCACTTCATCAACAGGTCGGATTGTATTCTTTTGATTTTGAGTATTTGATTAATGAACATAGAAGTCATAATGGCATCCTGCTGTCCAAAGATATCCCAATGGGTAGGTACACCCGACAGACCATATATCCACTGATATTCCATCTCAAACTACGGGCTGCCACGTTCCTCTTCATTTGAAAACCCATACACTATGACACCTCTGTAGCACATATTAACACTGGTTAGTAACATAAAACACAACATAATAGACTAAAATACCTACCTGCCCAAACCGGCATACATTACATACACCGTGGACCACCGCACCAATGAACCAAGGCAGCCAAGACACACGACATCACAACCACAACCACAACCCCATCACAAGTACCAAGAAAATATCTTTCTGAAACATCAAATCCCTTCAATTAAAACATGGCATTTACCTAAAATTTTCCAACCCTTACTTGATTGTAGTAAGATGGTACCTGTCCTTCCCGACCTATCGATGAGATCATAAGTGGGCCCGTACCCGGCACCGATGACTTCACGATGGTGTCAACGCCAACAATCTGGGCCCCGAATCGATGAACACATCACCTTGACTTTTGTGGATATAAGTAGGTTGCAGTAACTGTACCATTGCAATCATTCAGACTCAGATTCAAATCGAACAACAATCTATCTAACTCCCACAAACAAACCTTATCTCCATCTTTACTACATATATATATATACATACACAAGGTACGCTATATACTTGCTATACACCATTGCGTGAGTTTAGTTTCTCAGCTCATACTAATTAAGTACCTTGCAGCCATCAAAATGCCCCGCGGAGCCGAATACGACAACGGAGTCATCCAGTCCGACAACGCCATCGAGGCCGGCGAGACCAAGGTTCATGGAACGAACCCTGCCGTATGTTCATCCTCCTTCCCAAAAATATCTTCCATTGAAGAAAGAGTGTTTGCTAATTCTGCTACAGAACGACCACCTCAACCGCGTCCAGCGCACCGCTCCTCTCCCCGAGGCCGCCCAGAGCAGCGGCGGTGAGTACAGCATTGGCGGCAGCTCAGGTCCGAACAAGTCCGGTAGTGGAAAGGGCGGCCACGAGCCCAAGACATTGGGCGATAAGAAGGGATTGGGGGCTCACAAGGCATAAACTATAAAAGCATTGGAGTTCGGTGATTGATGCATGAATATCATGATTTAGGTACCTCTTTGGGTGGATATGTATTAACAGTCTATACTATATTATGCTTTTCACTAGTTATTAGTGAAAGGTGATGATGATGACCTCCGGGTTGAGGTCGAATGAAATGAAATAACTGAATGAAACTGAAATTGTCTAAAGTGTTTGAGTGTCGGTGTAGTGGGAAATGTTCCTATTAGAGTCTATATAGATATGGTCACGGACTTCATGTGTGTGCCAGGTGATGTGAAGAAAAACATGGATGTGAAATAAATAAAGTCTGTACAGCCCTGTACCAACAAGAGGTACTGGGATCTTCTGGGGTGAATTTGTATCATGTACACCTGGGCCATCAAGGCCCGGATATGAATCGCCTCTGCTTAGGATGGTTTCTTTGAGCCGTTGGAATCAGGCGACGACTTTCCGGACGAATCGGTGGCATCCTTGGATTCTGTAGCGATCTTCTTCTGCTTCACTAGTTCGACAAGACGCTGGCCCAGATCGCCGAAGCCGTCGATCTTGCCGAGCTTCGTCTGCAGATACTCTGCGTCGCGTTTCAGTCTGGTCGTATAATTAGCCTACATTGAGTCAACCATGCGGTGGCACACATACCGTTCTTTGCCAGTCTCCGAAGTCATGGTGACCTCTTCGAATGCCTTTGTCCACTGCTCTCGGTAGCTCTTGAACACAGGATCCATGATCATCATGACCGTCATATCGGGGAGGTGCTTGCTCAGCACCCGATGCAGCGTGCCGGTTTCCTTCGCCAGCGTTTCCATGTACGGGCTTACACCACTGCCCCCTGCGGGTGCGTTCCAGTCAATCTTCTTCATGGCACTCACATGGATGGCAGATCGAGATCCCATGATGTCCACAAGTTTCTCGTGGATTCCGGACTGGTGTTCCTGGTACAGTCGCTTCACCTTGTCGAATTCGCCCATCAGCGGGCTGGAAGGCGCGTGGCGGCGGACGAACTCTCGGATATAGGGAACCAAGGCAATGATGAAGCTTAGTGCTTGAGACGACAGAGCCAAGTGCTTTGTGGTGATGTTCTTGAGACCTGCGCTTCTTGTAGCCCCGGCACCCAGGATCAATTGAGATGATCGGGAGTTAAACAGCTTCAATGACTCCAACAAACCAGGCGCAATGTCTTGCATCATGCTGGGTATGTTCGCCATGAGATATTGATATTCCTCGATGCTTTTCATCATCGCAACAGCAGACTCGGACAGAATGTACTTCTGCTCGTCGATCACGGCACTGCGCGTCTTCTCTTTTCCGGACCCGTTGACAGCGGTTGTGCTGGCCGGAGACGGTTGTCGGCGTTCGTTCTCGGGCAGCCAAATCTTGGATGCGTCGACCCACACATCAATATCTCTAGTACTGGCGCCGAGGATACGATCGAGAATAGCATTGTCGGCTTCTCCAAAGTCCCTTGCATCCCATCGATCCGCATCCATTACCTCGACCACGCGGCGTCGCTGTCCATCCCCGAAGCGATTGATGTAGTCTCTAATTTGGTTGCCTACAACTGTCTTCAAGGCGGTACCGCTACGCCCGGAGATGGCCTCACACTCATCAGCGAAGAGCCGGTTGAGAGTGAAGTACTTGAGGAATTCATCCTTTAGTAGCTGAGATGTTTGTTCGGATCGAACCTTCAGCACCTTGGTAACCTGTGATTGCGCAATATCAACGGCTTGGCCAAGAAGGCTGGACATATCCAAGACCTGCAGAATCTCGTCCTGTGCCACAACGGCTACAGGGCCCGGTGTTGCAGGTTTGCCTGGACCTTGAGGATTCGGGCTTGGTGGCCCGGACTTCACACCCACTGCAGCCGGATTCTCCAACCCACTGGCAATATCAAGAAGAACCTTGACTTGAACACTAAGTCTCCGCAGCGACTCACTGATACCAGTGTATACGCGAGCGAGCATGTTGTATGAGTCTTGGGCATCCAGAGCCCGGAGGTTACGCGCGAGGATGGATGATTTTTCCTGCTGGCTGAGCTGCTGGGACTTCTGCGTGGACACAGATACCACTGACTCGTTATCGTCATCACTCGAGCTGGGCATGTGTTTGCGGATCAAGCTCTTCATCTCTCGCAGAACCGCGGTCTTGAAAGCGGTCGCTGCAGGTGTCGTGTGACGTACGCGAGCAAGGCCTGTGAGATGCAGGCGCAACCGGGATCGTAACTGGTCATCAAAGGCCATATATGCTGGGGCTTGTGTAGCCCCTGTACGCTGTCCTCCCCGCTGCCGCTGGAACGCAGAGCCCCATCGTTGTAATGTTGTATCCAAAGGCACGTTTTCGACATGCTGCCTCAGGTCGCCCAGCAGGTCGCTCAAGAAACGGCTCTCATACCCTGTGCCAATGCGGTATCTCAGATGCGCCAGGTCGTCAGATGCGCCTTCCAGGGCCTTGAGCTTGCGCAAATCGATGGCTTTTCTCGGTTTCTCTTGCTTCTCGTTGCCGTCGGGAGAGCCAGGGGTATACTCTCCGGCCATCAGTCTTTCCACCTCTTCTAATCCATCCGCAGCCTCTTCGATTTTACCAGTCTCGACTAATTCCTCGCATCGGGAAACCGACTGGACGACGTCACGGAGTTGCGATACTGCATCTGCAAGCATTCGCACATTCTCTCTCCTCCGTCGCAAATTCACAATTTTGAGTCCACCCAGCGCCATCTCACGGTCAATCTTCTGTAAATCCTTCCGCAGGACCTGGATCCGTTTCACCGAGTCAGCGGCTTCTGCATGTAGCTCCCGCAGTGACCCCAGCGCAGTGAAGAAAGACTTAGATGCAGTCGAGATAGAAGAGATAAGGTGAATTTCCACAGTGTCCATGTACCACGAAAGCTTCTCTTGTAGAATGGCATTCGTAGCCAGAGCCTTTCTACCCGTGGGCGCCGGTTCCAGGGCACCTCCATTCTCGAATTTTTCCTTTGACGGTGTAACAATCTCAGACTTTTCCGAAACGACATCGAAGGTGCGTGGGTTCTCTAGGTGGAAGTCGTCCTCGAAGTAGACCGTCGGGATGGTAGATAGAGGTGTGATAGCATGACCACGACCGCGACCGGCAAACGACCGCTTCCGACCCCGGGTATCGTACGGAGAAGTTGCTCGTGAACTGGTTGAGATGGCCGATGGTCGTCTCTCCCTGGACCTTGGGGCCAACGAATCTGATTCCTCTGCCTTGGGTGAAGACTTGTCGCTACCCCGCGCTAGCTGCGACTCCTGATCTCCGGCGCTTTCCTTTGCTTGTTGGAAGACGTCGTACAACGACCCAACTTGCGACAAGTAGGCTTCGAATGCTTTGGGATCCACATGCGGAATGTTGGTCAATGTGACAGGGGGTATATCGCGGGTAGTTGGCGGCTTGTATCCGGCGGAGGGGACAGCGGTATGGGGAACTAGACCGGTGCGGACAATGGGAGGTTGCAGGAGAGTAGAGATGGCTGCGTCGAATTAGCATGCGATTTCCTTCATAGATTTCCTCACTCCCATAGGCCGTACCATTTTGGCCGGACTCAGCTATCGATCCATGACGGTGGGAAGGATCCAAAATACCCCCGATACTGGCAATCGAGCTGGCAGTCGACCCTCTCCTGAGCGGATACCTCTGAGTCGACGCACGCGGCGATTCAATCTGGTTTAGTGAGAGTTGAGACAGAGAGGGAGTCGATGCGCCTGAAGCCAAGCTGTCAATGGACTTCCGGGGGGTCGCGGACGACATATCGTCGATAGCGGATTAGAGACTCCCACAGCCACCGTGCTAGTAGTAGTACTCGGGAGAACGAACGACGGCTAACTACACATGACAAGGAGAAAAAGCTGCAAATCAAAAACGAAGGGGCATTAACGGCGTCCAGCCAATGATCCCACACTGCCAGGGTATGAAGCCTGTGGTCTCAAGAGGAGAGAATGAAAGCCACGCCGACAAAGCCCGCTTGCAACGTCACCCTCGACCCTCTGATACGGGGGTTGGTTCATGACAGCTTCCCCCGATTCGGTATGGCGCCAGGCCCCGAGACCGTGTCCACTAGTCTGCTTTGGGTACCCCTCGGGAAGTTAGTATCTCCGGCTGCCGGCACCAAGTCTCGTGCTCAAGTTCTCGTGCTTGTGGACGCACTCCAAAATACTGCCACACCACACCGCCAAACTTTTCACAGAATCTCAGATGAGTTTTTTGGATCTGTATGTTTCCAGAATCCGCTAAATCCGAGATTTTTGCGACGAGGTTCACTAATTTCTGCCGCCTTTAGCGGTCTGGAGAGCGGTGAAGGCTTGTTTCTCTGCCTCAGGTATGAATTAAACCACTTAACGCGTGAAAGCGACGCGACGCGTTCGGCTCGTGTCCCGCCGCAAAAGTTATTTGCACTTCCTTTTTTGCCCTGGCAATGAGACGGTCCCGAAATCAACACATCTCACAATCCCATCCCCGCAGTCCGCTTTAGTGTCTTCACCATGGACAGACGCACCCCTTATACCCTGAGTGTCCTCGCTCCTAGCGTCGATGGTGTGGAAGATTCTCGCTCTCAGATTCGAGCAAAATTAAAGGAGTTTGTGCTCGAATTCCAGCTTGACAATGCATTCATCTACCGGTATGTTTGGCCCTAGCCCGGATACAGTGAAGATTCAAGTCAACAAAAGCTAAGGTGGATGGCAGTGACCAACTTCGCCAGAATGTTCTGGTCAAGCAATACTATTGCGATATTGACATCGCTCATTTGATCTCATACAACGAAGAGCTAGCACACAAGCTCACCACAGAGCCTGCCGACCTCATCCCCCTCGTGAGTTTCCATCTCCTAAATCCTTGAACCTCATCCTGACCATCAATGCCACTTAGTTTGAATCAGCACTCCAAGATTGTACTCGTCGCATAGTATACCCCTCCCAGAGAGACATCCAACTACCCACCCATCAGCTTCTACTCCACTCCTCTGCTACACACATCTCAATCCGTGACCTCAATGCCACCAACATTTCGCACCTTGTTCGTATCCCTGGTATCGTTATTGGCGCTTCGACGATATCATCCAAGGCAACAGTGATGCACGTTCGGTGTAAAAACTGTGGCCACCACGAAGATCTTCAGGTCGATGGTGGTTTCTCGGGTGTTCAACTTCCCAGAAGATGTGGCCGACAGCAGCAGCCCGGCGACCCTCAGTCGGAACCCTGCCCACTAGACCCATACGTTGTGTCGCACGAAAAATGTCAATTCGTCGACCAACAGGTTCTTAAGCTCCAGGAAGCGCCTGATCAAGTGCCTGTTGGTGAGCTTCCCAGACACGTCCTTATCTCGGCCGACCGTTACCTGGCCAACCGCGTGGTGCCTGGTTCCCGCTGCACAGTGATGGGTATCTTCTCTATCTACCAGTCCTCCAAGGGTGGCAAGAAGGATGGCGCTGTGGCTATCCGCAACCCGTACTTGCGGGCGGTGGGCATTAGCAGTGATCTGGATCATACCGCGAAGGGTAGCGCCATCTTCTCTGAAGAGGAAGAGCAGGAGTTCTTGGAACTGAGCCGGCGTCCTGACTTGTATGAGGCTCTTGCTAAAAGCATTGCCCCGTCCATCTACGGCAACCTGGATATCAAGAAGGCCATTGTCTGCCTGCTCATGGGTGGTTCTAAGAAGCTTCTTCCCGACGGAATGAAACTTCGTGGTGATATCAACGTACTTCTCCTTGGTGACCCTGGTACGGCCAAATCACAGTTGCTCAAGTTCACTGAGAAGGTCTCCCCCATTGCGATCTATACATCTGGTAAGGGTTCTTCGGCAGCAGGTTTGACGGCCTCGGTCCAGCGCGACCACGCTACTCGCGAATTTTACCTGGAAGGAGGTGCCATGGTGCTCGCAGACGGTGGTGTTGTTTGTATCGATGAGTTCGACAAAATGAGAGACGAGGACCGTGTTGCTATTCACGAAGCCATGGAGCAGCAGACCATTTCCATCGCCAAGGCCGGAATTACTACTATTCTCAACTCTAGGACGTCTGTTTTGGCCGCAGCAAACCCTATCTTCGGTCGCTATGATGACCTCAAGACTCCTGGTGAAAACATCGACTTTCAGACGACAATCTTGTCTCGTTTCGATATGATCTTCATTGTCCGCGATGATCACGAGCGCAGCCGTGATGAAAGCATAGCCAGACACGTTATGGGTGTGCATATGGGCGGTCGGGGTGTTGAAGAGCAAGTTGAGGCTGAGATCCCGTTGGATAAGATGAAGCGCTACATCAGCTATTGTCGCACGTAAGTTGTCCTTCGCCTCGTATACCCAACATATGAGTCAGAAACGCTAATACATCATTACAGTCGCTGTGCGCCCCGTCTCTCGGATGAAGCTGCTGAGAAGCTGTCATCGCACTTTGTCACCATCAGAAAGCAAGTCCACCGTGCTGAACTTGACGCTAACACCCGCTCTTCCATTCCCATCACCGTTCGTCAGCTTGAAGCTATCGTCCGTATTACCGAATCGTTGGCCAAGTTGAGTCTGTCGCCTGTCGCCACTGAGGCCCATGTCGACGAAGCCATTCGTCTCTTCTTGGCCTCTACCATGGACGCTGTCACTCAAGGTGAGGGCCAGGGTAGCAAGGAGATGATGGAGGAAGCAAGCAAGATCGAAGACGAACTGAAGCGCCGCCTACCTATTGGATGGAGCACCAGTCTGGCGACGCTGAGACGCGAATTTGTCGACGGAAGGGGCTACACGGAACAAGCACTCAACCGGGCATTGGTGGTTATGCAACGACGAGAAACCGTTCAAATCCGGTCCGGTGGATCACAAGTATACCGACACGGTGTCTAGTGTTTCTTCATGTCTGCTTTTGATTTCATACCTTGCGATATTGTCACGAATAATCTTCCGATGTTAGTCTGCTGGGATGACTACGTATCGATTTGGGCTCGGGATTAACGGGGATGACTCGGTGTATGGCGTACTGCTTTGTTCATGGTGAACGACTGATCCGTTATTAGATGAGCGAATTTAACGAGAGACAATATAACAACAATAATAAGGAATACCAACCAGTCTAGATGGGGAGGAAAGTCTTTGTATCAGCCTAACGCAATATATATATATATATATATATATATGTGCTCAGGATAACTCGAGGAAAGTGCAGTCCACTCTAACTGCATTGATTTGATTAATCTTGTCAGCCAGGTTGTTCATCATAAAACTTGTGATAGTCCTGGACAACAAGTCAGCTCTCTTATGGCCCCGAACACACTGGTGTCCCGGAACCCAATGAAGCTCGACCTTAACTCCCATCGAGCAAAGCCGGTGAGAAAGAGCGTCAACACGACGCACTAGACGGCCAGCGAGTGGGCTCAACTTCTTTGTTCTAGGCCGCAGCATTTCCATGGCCGCTTGGCAGTCCGTGAAGACCTGGACAACATGACCTGACACTTGAAGGCGCTCCAGTTGGCGGACTGCAGCTCTAAGACCGGCCCCAATAGCAAACAGCTCAGCTAACTGGCTGAGCCGGATCTCTTCGAGGCAGTACAGCTCATCCGCGTCTTGTCCGCTGTGCCCGTGGATAACTGCGACTCCAGATGGCGCTGCTTCGTTGGCGGCTGTCGATCCGTCCACCCAGAAGACATGGTTGTCATCTGGGGACGTCTCTGTCACCTCCTTGGCATAGTTCAAAGCTTCTTGACGAGGCTTGATCAGCAACACTCTGTCAAATCTATCATCCTTAATCCGGATGGTATTTGGAGGCTGCTGCTGCTGCTGCTGCTTCTGTTTCTTTTTCTGACTCCCAGAGTGCTGCTTCCTACCCCCCCCCCCCCCCCCGGCTTGTTCGACTTCCTCGTCCCGACGGACTCGGTCGTTTCAGAAACGGAAGCAGCACCCTGATGCGGGTCTGCATGGCTTTGGGAATCTTCATTAGTGATAGTTCTGCTGTTATCACTAATACTAGTACTGCTGCTAGCACTTCTGCGCTTATACCGCTCGAAGACAGAGGCAGTACTACCCTCGTCTTCATTGGTTTGGGAATCTCGATTTCTCTGGCTGACGCCGTCAACCCCGTCAAGGTAAGGATCGATCGCTTGAGAACCTCGAGCGTCGTCCTTAGCCCTCTGTGCCTTGCCTTTCCTGGAAGGAGGCGTGCGCCCTCTGGATCCGATTTTTCGAGGAGCTCTGTGACCCCAACTCATGGTAGTCACCGCTGTGGGATTCTCAACCTTTATGACTATATCCCTCTGGAAATAAATATAGTGAAAGACTTTCTGGGGAAAATACTTCGACCTATTATGTGAAATATGATACCAGGCAGCGTCTTACAGGTCTGATAAGTATAAGGGAGATCGTCTTTGTTCGAAGAACTTATGATGCGTTATTGTGGCAGTGGGCAAGTGGATGGTTTCGAGACAAGAGCGGATGGGTGTCTTTGCTCTGGAAGAGTCTCCCATCTGAGTCAAGCCGACAATCTTTACGTCGTTGAGAAACAACATGTATGCAGCATTATGACGAGATGTCCAGTCAGCCATCTAACACAACAAAATTCCGAGATGTCTGGTCCGGGGGCTTATAGGACAGATTGGAGAGCCAACGGTACGAAACATGGGTCCGAAAAGCATTTAGTTCGAAGTCTGATGGAGCCTCGATTCTTACTGCAGCTCTGCGCCCACAGCGTGAACCTATAATGTCAAGCTACTGCATTGAAATACTCCTATCGAATCAGACTCTCAATCAAGGCTTGAATCTTGTCATTTGAGACAAATGCATTACCGCGGAAAGAAAAGAAGTCTGGCTGACTTTACTCCATGAAATCGCTGGATTGACTATGACGCTTTCAGGGCTTCTGCGTGCTTGGTAGATGCCCGGGATGTTGAAAAGAGAACAAAGCCTGGTAGCAATGCCAAGGCATCTCGAGTCGTATCAGTAAGCGCAATTTGTGAGTTGATACAATGTTAGGGTGGCTTGGGATTTCGTCAGATGGGCTCAAAGCCTATCTACCACTTTGGTCTCTAATGATTATGTCCGTTGCAATCGTCTGACGGGGCTCAATCATCTATATAAATGCGGTAAGCGAAAGCTTAGTTATAGTCATGTTGAAAAAATCCAAATCCTAGTTTAGTCTACACTATAAATAGTAGCATTGGCTAGGTCATAGCATCGGTCCTCCGAGTTTGTTTTCGAAGAGTTTTACATATCACTAACTCAAGACTGCTTCATCTAGTAGCACTGCGCGATGCGTATTACTTCACTAGTAAGTCTAGGCTCACTATCACCTGACCGAATGACGCCTAGTTTCTGCCTGATTAATGTCTTCCTCTCCTACTACAGGGCTCCATATGGTTACTACCAAATACTTACTAGCTGGTAGTGCTCATTATCGGTCATCATGCTCCATTTGCATACTAGGTAAACTGGTGCCTCTCATACCATGCACATGGGTCTATCCCCATTTATAATATTCTGACTAGTATAGTAGTAGTCTCTGCCCCGTCGACGAGCGGCAAATGGCAGTAAGCTTCGAACATGACTCTGCTTATTTTTCGTAAGGAACCTTGGAGCACTACGTCACAATGCTGGCCAATGAACTGCATGCTGGCAAATCACTAGGTATGTGGCAGGCTCATGAACGCGTTCTTTATATGATAGCAGAAGACCCGGACTTTCTTTTCAAAACGAACCGCTTGAAAGTTGACAACTCCAGACACCAGGTGTCCAAATGGGAGAATGACAGCACCGTCTAACGGGGTCAACCTTCGTCTCCACACCGACGTATAGTCAACACCGCAGTTTACACGGTCATGGTCCCGCCGGAGCCACTGAACCATGGGTACGATGGGCTGAAAAGGCCCGCAGTCTCGACTGTCTGTTGTGCTGCCAGGGCATGCATTTTGATGGGATTGTAATAGATATAAGGGGATGATATGTCTTCCTGATGTGATAGACCGTTAGTTCTGTTCGGCAAAAGGTAGTATAGATGAGTTTCTGGGATGGTGTTAGCTAGGTAACTGGGGTTGACAACTCAGGAACTTGATTTCTGGTTCAGACCGCGCCGAACGGGTCCAAACGGAAGGGTAACCAGCAAAAGGGAACTGAGAGGTGAGGTATGAGGCTTCGTGGCAACCGTGGCCTGGGTGATAAGTATGATCGGTCTGGTCTTACATTCCAAGGGATCCACAGTACAAGTATCTGACAGCATTCCGGAAGATCAAACGACCAGCTGGCAAGTGGGGTATGAAAATTACTTGACGCGCCGCGCGTGGTGAGAGAGAGATACTATTATCGCCCTGCCATGTCAAAAGGTTAACGAAGATTAACTCTTTTTTGTCCGTGGCAGGGGAAGCAGAGGTATGTCATTGATCGCTTGCTCCAAGGCCCAAAAGACTTAGTATTTGAAGCTTTTTCTGTATTTGAGGAATGAATGGATTGAGCGTGTCATTGTCGATAGGTAAATTGGTCAGTCCATGTACTTTTCCTTTCATTCACCACCGATACTTCTGAAAACGGCCGCGTACCGTACATCAGCCCCTGACTCCGGCCCAGACTTTTGAGGTCGTGTGCACATCTGTATAATTATAGCTGCGTACAGAGGAGGGATGAAGAAATTGCAGCGAGTAAGGACAGAAGTTCACCTCACATCTTAGAATCGGTGTTTCAGGTCATGCAGCAGCGACAGAGACATGGGTCAGTAAGCGCCGGGGGGGCAAATGGAACATTATATATGAAGAACCTAATCAAAAGCGCTTCGAGCTGAAGCTAATAAAGATAATTATATCATGATCGGTCGAATCTAGACTAGATCGACGCCTCTTGTATGCTGGTTGTTACACCATGTACGGAGTTTCTACTGTCTATCCAGTGGCCAACCGACAATCAATAGACGGGCTGCCGTAGCGCCGGCTTCAAGGGGGGTGCAGGTGGTGAAACATGGGGTGGGGATACGTGGTCGTGATAGACACGCGCGAAGGAGCGACGGGCGCGCCATGCGTCGTGGAGGGGACAGTTTGGTTGGTGAAGAGGCACGAAGGGGAAGAAAGGGTCGTGATGGCAACGCGTTGAAGGGGGGAGGATGGATGATGGACGGGTGGGGAGAGGGAGAGCAGCTATGGAGACAAACGTTCAATAAGGTTTCAATGGAGTTTGTCTGATAGAAAGTAGATTCTAAAACTAGTGAAGAGGCAAAAGGCGATAGGCATTCTAGATGATCGACTATTCCCGATGATATCATGAGTAAGTGAAGAAGAGAGAAAACATTAATCGCGAAATGCATCTTGCATGCCGCATTGGGGAAAGAAGTAAAAAGTAAGCCCTGAATCGCGCGACGCGACGTGATGGAAGAAGGGCCGAAATGAGATGGGGGAGTCGCAACCAATAATCGATCAATAATGGGTCTCGAAGCCTTGCATGGGACCATCGGTAGTTTAAGTCAGTTGTGGATTTAGCCTCCGTCTGGAATTCTCGGGGTTCCCTGGCCATCGATCCCATCCCATCCCATCTGGCGGGCGACACGAACTTGACGCGCTTCTTCGCCTTGACTCCATTCCTGCTTCTGACTTACTTATACAACTCCACCTCCACGTCTCACGTCCACGTCCACGCTCTCGCGCTTCCCTTCCCCCTCCCCTCGTCGACTTAAATTCTTTTTCTCTTTTAAACATTTTTTTTCCAAACCCGTACCCTTGAAACCCGTTCATCTGCATGTTTCGACTGTCGTGCAGAAACCTTGGAATGAGCCTTGAATGACCAGCAGCCCACCGTTTTCCCTGCCCTCTCCATTTTTAGGCATTCTTTCTCGGTTGACGCTGCCTACCACCACCTGCCTTTCAACAGCCCTTGCCTCACTCCAACTCTTATATCTCCTCGCCTGGTCCCCTCGTTCCTCTTAGTCCTGACACTTCCCATTGTCATTGTCATTGTCCCCTTCCAGTCTGGACTTCCACCAAAAAAGACTGGATCGTGGATTAACCTTAACTGCTTTCTCCATCCTCCATTCACTCAGCCTCTCCCGCTCCAATCCTGACCGTCGATCTTCTTCCCTCTCCAGACCGCCAATCAATCTACCAACCCCACTCACTTCACTCCCTCGACGCGACTAAAAACAACTCGTCTCCAACACGGCCTCGTTGCCTGCCTAAACACCTCTATACATCCCTTTCGGTGCACTCAATCCGCTGTTCCTGGTTTATTCCGGCCGGTATACAGCATGGCCGCTCTCACCATGACCCCAACCACCATGCGGCAGCCATTTGCCAGCTTGGACGCGCCACGCATGCGCTCCTTGCTCAAGACTAGAATGAACATGAAGAACAAACAAGATGGTATGAACATGCGAAACTTCGCCCCATTCTCACCACGCGCGTCATAGCTAACATACTATTCTTATAGGTGCCATTCTTTCGGGAAAGAGACAGCCCCTGTCGGACGTGGACTCGGAGAATATCGACCCAACCACTTTCAAACAATCCGCCAAACGCAAGCGTGGTGCCGACGATGATGACCTGGAACCTGCCAAGGAACCCTGCAAGCCATTCAAAACCTCTCGCATGGTTCTGACCACCGTGAAGTCAACCACTGTCACTCCTCGCAAGCCAACCACACCCACCAAACCAACCGTGTCTACTCCCAAGTCCGCTCCCAACCTTCGGCCAGCTGGACGTTCACCACCGCCCAAGTCTTGCAAGCCATTCTCTCGTCGTTCTACTATCGCCAAAAGCCGTCCCGAGTCCGCTAACCGGAAATCCGTCCACCGCCCATTCTCTCTTGCAACCGCTCTGTCTGGCGCAAAGGCAAAGAGTCAGCCCAGCCCTAAAGCTCCTGCATCCTGGTCATTCGATATCCATGTGGACACCGAGCAGGAAGAGATGACCAACCTCATGCAACACTCCACCTGTGTCCTGGACATCAGCGACCAGGAAGGGAAAGTTGAGACCTCTGGTCGAGGCAAGGAGAATGTACCTCCGGCGGAACTCGGACTTGATCTTCCCCGTTCTCGTCAGCAGGAGTCCCCTGCGGCTGCGGCGCGCAAGTCTGTCATGCTGGAGGAGTCTCGTGAGCCATTGGGTGACCTCAATGCCGCCGACTACTACGGTGATGACTGCCATGCCTTCTCCTATGCCGTTGTCTATGATGACGAGGCCGAGGAGAATGCGAAGAAGGCCCCATCAGCACCACGCTCAACCCCCAACTCCGCCCGCAGCAAGCTTTCCAACGTCTCCTCCGTCTCTTCCTTGCTTGAAGTAACCGCCCCTGCCAAGCCTACCGCTGAGGTTGAAGCTGAGGCGGCAATCGAGATCTGGGAGAGCGAGAGTGCTGCGGAAGAAGCCGCTGATGCCAACTGAATCCGCGGCCACCACTTGATAGCTCGCCTCGGACTATCACCCCATCATACATACCAACAAGAGTTATATTATATGGCGTTCGGATTACTCCAGGGTTGTACAGCATCGTTTTTGGATACCCTACCTATACAGTCTTTTTGATTTCGTTTGGAGCCGTTTTATACCGACCAGATCCGTCACGAGACGAATTTTCTTGAGTCCTTTTTCTTATTATCACGTCCAAAACCTACACCACACCATACCTTCCTATTCGACTTCCCACTGTCTTACCCGAACTACTACCTACCTCGACACGAGTCACTATCATTGGCCTGAAATATAATGGCCCCCTCCGTCACCACTCTTTTGCGCATCTGAATGCTGCGTCCGTTACCTACCTACCTCCTAATGACCTAAGAATGTGTTACGTCGCTTAATGCCTGTATGAGATACATACCCCTCAGTCTAATCAAAAGCAAAAAAAGGAGAATGAGAATACAAATAAAAATACATTATTATGAACAATGTCCTTTCCATAGACTAGTAACTAGTAAATTGCACTACAACCAAGTACACTAAGCTCTTCGTCTCGTATTCCTAGGAGTCTCAACGCCACCCATCTCCGTATCCTCATCTTCCCCGCCGTCATCCTCATCAGACTGTTCCTCATCCTCGTCTACATCTTCTTCATCTTCATCATCCACCTGTGCCCCACCCGACACCGCCGCCTCCGCCACAGCCTCCGCCAACTCCTCCTGCTCGTACGCCTCTTCCTCACCCTCACTCAACATCTCCCCGCCACCATCCCCATCACCATCACCACCCACCTCATCCTGAAACTGCACCCTCCGATCCGCCCTCTTCTTCCCCTTCCTATCACCCTCCTCCCCAACCTCCTCCCTCCCCACCACCCCCTTCTTCCCAGCAGCACCACCACCACCACCAACCCTCTCCTTCCACGCCGGCGCCCCCTTGATAATGCCCCTCACCTCCGTGGCCATCATCATCTCCCTCTGCGACGCCACCGCCGGATCAAGCCAAAAGTCCACCATGACCGACTCCGGCGTAGCATGATCCGGCAACTTGACAATATTCGCAAACTCGACCTCATCATCCAACATCTTATCATCCAACAGCGCAAGCACCTTCGCCCGCATAATCGTCTTCGTCTTCGCCAACGTCCCGTTCCCGAACCACCCATCCGTCACAATATCGCATTCCTCGCGCAGGAAACCCGCCGGCGGCGGATCCGATGGGAATAAGATCCTCCGGAGGGTGGGGTCCGTCACGTCGCAGAACATCCACATCCGTCCGTCGCGCGGGAGCGGCAAACAGCCTGTGAAAAGGTGGGTTGTTGTGGGGAGTTGTTGGGTTTCCGTAGGTTGGTCTGGGTGCTGGTGATGAGTTTCGTCGAGGTATTGGGGTACTTCGCCGGCGCGGGCGACGGCGTGGCGACGGCCTGTGTACCCGTCTCGTGCGACTTCGGCTTCTCGGGGTAGGATCCGGAACATGGCTGTTTGGTAGATTCGGTAGGAGGGGTCGGTGCGTGGGTCGTGACCGTATTTGATTATGGCGTCGCGCCAGGGCCCCGAGCGGAAGATGTACCCGACGTAGGGGATTGCGTGGCGGAGGGCGTAGCGTTGTTCGATTGTCGGTAGGGAGTTGCGTAGCCCTCGGCGTGTCCAGGCGGGGCGTTGTTGGAAGAGGGTTTCCACGGCTGTGATGGTTTCTTGGAGCGTTTTGTCGAGTGTGTGGATGGGTGGGCAGTTCGTGCGCGGGGAGGTTGGGACCGTAGCGATGTCGTAGGATACTAGGTGGGTGAGGACTTTTACCACGCGTTGCGTGTTTACTGTTGTTATGTTGCCCGAGTTGTCGATGGCTTGTCGGACTGTTGGGTTTTGGCGGTAGCTTTGGGGTTTGATGTTAGTTGGGATGTTGGGTTGGGGATAGGCATGGGGATGGAGATGGGGCTTACATGTAGGTGAAGGGGATGTCTCCGAAGCTGAAGGACGGTGGAGGGATGATGTCTACGTCGGTGATGGCGCCTTTGCTCATGTCGAGGTCGAATTGTTTCATTTTGTCGTCTGCATCCAGTCAGTTTGTGTTGAGAGGTGATATGGTGGTGGCAGGACACGTACAGTCAAATGGCAATATCTGCTCCCGGAATCGGTTGGCAAAGGAACTGGAGCCCGTTGAGAAGACAAAGTCCGGCATTCCTGGTTGTGTCAGTATCATGCAGGATATTCCGTTTATGTAGGTAGTCTGTAGACTCACCCCGAAACACATGTGTCCGGTTAATCAAGCCCACCGGTTCGACCTGATACCTGGATGCATTATCACTCAAACTCCGCAGCAGTTCTCGAGCACTGCGTCGTTGCGGCTCCGTATGCACCGTGGATACAGCAACACCGCTGAAGGGCTCATTCGACCCCTTCTTTCGCTTGCGACCTGTCCTCTTCGGTACCGTCACCTTTAAAAGGATGTTGTTGGACGGTAAGCTGGTCGACTGGAGCGGCCTGGACATGGCATCCTCCGGCCGCAGAAGCAGATGAGCCGGGCTGTCAGGCTTTGGGGGATGTAATATCTGGAGTAACTTGTCAGTCCTTCTGAGTGATAGTCAATTGAATGGGTTAAACGTACTTTTGTTATGCCCGCATCACCCTTCAGTGTGTCGACGGCCTTGTCAAGGTTTCTGATAATGGCAGGGTGCTCGACGCTGACAATGCGACGTGAGGGGATCTGGTAGAATGGGGCTGTTCTGGCGCCATGTTGATCTGTCATGTTGTCTGTACGTCGTAGATGCACCGTTTATAGCCCTTGTTGGGACTATTTAATCATGTGTCAAGAGCGTTTGGGGGAAATGCTATCCCTAGGTCGAAGCTATATAAAAGCGGATAAGTCTGCACAAATATGGAGCTAGGATTGACGTCAACCGTTAGTCTCCAGGGGTCTTAAAGTTAATTCACATCTACTACAACTTGCTGAGCCGGTGAATTGGTTCACTAGATCAGGCTCGGTACTAGAGTGTTCCTCGTAACCACCTTACTAACTACTACAGCAGAATCCCCATTCCTGTGTATGCTTCACAGCCAACCTGGAGGGGGAAAGATGGATGTCGATGCTAGGAATCTGCAAGTCACATGACCAACCAACAGCCACACCATCATCCCGAATCCCCCGTCAAAAAAATAAGATGGAAGGGTAAAAAAAGCTGCAACTGAGACATATGATGCTGGATGGGTGGATTGCTATTTTCTTTCCTCTAATAAGATGATGCGGTTGCTTTCTTTTCCTTATTATTATTATTTATTTCTTTAAAATACGAGTTTCTTACTCGGGGGGAATGCGCTGTCTGTCTGACCCCTTGCCTGTAGTTGCACTTCGAGACAGTTCAACATGAACCCTCCGGAGGGTGGGAGAGTACTTGTAGTGGTAGATGGTCTAAGTATAAATTTCGTAATGCTGAGGCGCTGCCCCTCCCATTTCATTTCATTTGGACCTCTTAAAACCGGTTGATTCCCGATTCCCATCGTGCTGGTGGTCGGCAGGTAAAAAAAAGATAGTTTGGTAAAAGGGACCCAACCAGGCCCACGACCTGACCTTCAACCACTAAGAAAACTACGTCCGAGCGCTCTTCTAGTCAGTCAGTCAGTTCAATCAGTCCGTTAGCCACAGCCTCAGGCCAGTCTGCTGCTCTGCTTCCCCCCTCCCCTCCCCGACCTCAGCTTGATACGACCAACTACTATCGCATCAATCAATCCCTTACAATTCTCAGACTGCTCGACTGGGCTGGTTTCTCGTGCTTTCTTTACGGTTGAACGCGCTGACGATAGAAGTTTTGATTTCTCCTTACTTTCCTTCTTTTGATTCCTTTTTGCCAACTGCGACCGTGTGGTTCTAGTACTCTTTTTACCTTGCTACTATTCCCACTTCTTCTGCTCTCTTCATTCCCCCGGGGGCCTCAATTCATTTGCACCCCGCTTCCCGGCAGCCGCTAAGCGACACGGAAAGAGACGATCGACTCCAGCAAACCAGACCGACTGACTACTGGCTGCTCCCTATACCGCTCCCGTTCGCGCCAAACAGTGAAGCGTGCCTGTCTGAGAGATCCTCCTCCCTCCCACTCCCACTCTCCCCCAATTCGCCCCGATACCTTGAACTGAACTTCCTCTGAGGTAAGTCCTGCAGCTATAGTTTCCTGGTCCTCTTGCGCTTTCGGGAAACTGTTCTTGTGTATTTTGATCCACCTCTCTCTTTCTTCTCCCCCTATCAAACATCCCCCTTTCTGGTGTGATTACACCTTACCATCTTCCGCTGGTTCTTTTGGGATCCTACCGCCTCACCCCGGTGCTCTGCGTTGCTGGCCTGGTGTCCACCATTTTCCACCCCCCTCATCCTACTATTTTCTATCTCTTTGATTCTGTATATTTTTCCACCCTGCGATTTTTGCCATGAGCCTTGTTCCTGGACCTTGTGTCTCTCCCATCAATCCGATTCGAGCGCTATGTTAGGTGGTGTTGTGGTTGGAAATGCTCATGTGGTCATTCCCAGGCCGACATAAATAAATCCCGACGTGGCTCTCCTGAAATTGCCTCCGCGCTATACCAACACCCTCCCCCATCCCTCCTGCTAGTGTGCGGCATCTTGCTGCACTGGCACCGAGATTGAGACCGAGTACATGTGGCTGTTCGACTAGTCGTGACAATGAAGGGCTTCAGACAGAGAGTGGTGAGTGTTTCCTGTCCACTTCCGCTGCCCCCTACACCCCGTTCCCCGCCTCCCTCCTGCCGATGATCAGCTCTCGTCCAACCCACCCCCCCAAAACCGTCGGGATGCAGGCTAATTTGCCCAGCATGAACAGTTGTCGAGGGCAAAAGACGCAAACAAATCCTCGAAGAAGAAAGACTCCTCCCACTCGTCCCAAAACAATGCCGCCCTCGGAGTCAACCACGGACAGCAGTCCTCTTCCCCTAACCAGGGCACCCCGACTTCGTCTACTACATCCGTGAATGATACTCGAGGCAAGTCGCCGGACAATGGCTCGCAGGCAGGAATGTATCCTGGTCAGTACTATATCCCGCAGGGCGCAGGCTTGGTTGGTCAGCCCGTGAATAACGGTGGACCAGGTACGCCCACGAAGCAGGGACAGCAGATGGCTCCGAGCGTGGTCATCAGTCCAAGCGCACCGGTGAGCTTCCCTTTCCATTATCGAGGCACCCCCGCTGTGGTTCTT